ATCCCCACTCTGCACCTCAGTTTCCCCAACTATAGAGCAAGGACACTGAGCAACTTCACAGGGCTGTGAGGCTGAATTCACTCACGTCCACAAAGGACTTTCGGATGTTTGGATGGAAGGGGTAAGAGAAGGGAGACATAAAACCCCCTGAACACCCCATGCATTCCTGGGACAATACTCAACGCTGCACGTCAGTGCAGTGCTATCTGAGACTCAACCTTTCCTCTAGTGTCCTCTGAACAGGCTTTCGGAGTCTGGCTCATAAAAAGCATGCTCACATCGGAGGGGCGGGGGAGAGAGAGGTTCAGAGCTGTTTGCACCCAGAAGCAACTGGGCAACAGGTAACTCCTTGCCTAAGTCTTTCCCCGGGGCCGAGCCTGGGTGCTCAGGCCACCCTGCTTCGCCTCTGTTTGCAAAATGTTTTCTCCGGAAAGATTCCACACACGCAGAAGCCCTGGGAATTGGAGCAGATCCCGATCTAGCTATCTTCAGTACTTCTATTCTATGCCACCACCGCGCCCCCCGCCCCTTACTGTAGTATCTGAGCACTGCCCAATCCTCCAGTGAGAGAGGGCCAGGCTGGGCTAGTACTCCCATTGTACAACTGGGAAAACCGAGGGCTTGTCTGCTCTTGAAATGCTTCAGCGGCACAGCCGCAGCGCTTCAGCGTAGACACGACCGACACCCACGGCAGCGGTTCTCCTGTACGCAATCCACCTGCCCGAGAGGTGGTAGCTAGGTCAGCTGAAGTATTATCCACAGCGGGGAGGGAAGGGGGGTTAGGACGACATAACTGCATCGCTTGGGGTGGGGATTTTTCACACCGCTGAGCAACATAGCTGAGGGTCAACCTAACTTTTTAGCGTAGGCCAGGCCTGACCCACGGTGCGAATAAGGGACTTGCCCCAGATCACACAGGGGAACCTGGGGGTGAGGGGGCAGGGGAGACTGAACCTAGATCTCTCAAGGCCCGGCCCAGCATGTTAACCACTGGTTCGTCCTCCCTCGCGAGGGCCCAGCTGATCCACGCAGCTACCCGCCGACGTATTTCAACGCAAATCCGCCCAGGCCGATAAACGCTTCCACCGTCGGGTCCAGAAACCGCGTCCACGGCGCCGGGCACACGCACGGGTAACGCCGCCCGGCGGGTCAGAATCCGCATGGGCCACGCGGAGCAGGTGGGTAGCCTGGTCCCCCCTGCGTTGTACAGGTGGGGAAACTGAGGCAGGGGGCAGGGACTTGCACCCCAGGCCTGTGCGCTACCCACCGGCTCACGCCGCCTCTGTAGGGCGCCCCGCCCTGCCCATCCAGCCCCAGCTGCCAGAGGGCTATTGACTGGGGGGGGGGCAGGCTGCACAGGGAGGGGGGGGCGTACCTGAAATTGGGGGGGGGGGTCGAGCAGCAGGAGAGAACAAGGTGCCTGGGGGGGGGGTAGGACCAGGAGGGGGGGGTGACCCTGGGGCGAAGTGGGGGGGGCTCCTAAACTGGGGGGGCTGGACATGAGGGGGGGTTCGCCCCCATGACTGACACGGGGGGGGGGGACAGGTCAGGGTGCAAGGGGAGGGGTCAGAGGTCAGGGAGGGGTCAGAGGGTCCCTGTCCCTCACGTCTCCTCAGCAGCCCCCTCAGGACGGAGCCCGCAACCGCCGCCATCGAAGCCTCTCGCGCCGCGGCCGCTGCCAGCCGCGTCTCGCGCGCCGAGTGCTGGGCAGCCCCGCCCCGCCCCTAGTCACCTGACCCGTAGCCCCCGCCCCCCCCCCCCGCCGCCATTTTCACTAAGGGCACACCGAAGGAAAGATGGCGGCCTGTTCTCAGCCCCGCCCCCTCCTTCCGCCATAACACCCAGCGAGGCGGAAGGAGGCCCGTCCGCCATGACACCTACAGAGGCGGAAGTGGTACCCAGAGCCACAGGGGAGAGCTGCAGGCTGGATGAAGCTCCCCAGGGGGGTGGTGGCGTACAGCCACTGCAGCATGTGGGAGGCCTAAGGGCTCATCTCTCCCATCCCCCCCAAGGGGGCCCAGCCCCTGCCCACACCCCACCCCCTCCCTCTCCCTGCTGCCCCACCTGCAGCATCCCACTCAGCCCAAGAGAACCCAGCCTTTGTCAACCCCCCCTAAACCTCCCCGCTCATCCCCCCTTTCTGGGGGGGGGCTTTTAGGTTCATTCTGGATGGCATCGTTCAGACCCAGAAGCACGGTGGGCCCCGGTTTCTGGTGACTCCCAGCTGCGGTTGTGGAGCTGTTGGAAGTAAGGGTTTACTCAGCGATGCCTCCTGAAGGTGCTGAGGCCGCAAAGACGCCTTCCCCGACCCACAGTCTAGCGTCCCCTGAACACGCAAGGGGACAGCTTGTTTAATTAAAGGGCGCAGTATTAAAGAGGTGTAATTGTGCATGGACAGCTGGGGCAGCTTAATTTAATTTAAACCTGTTCCTAATTGGGTTCAATTAAACCAAAACACATGTCCCCAGCAGACATTGAAAATTAAAGGTGCAACTTTAAAAAAAAAAAGCATTTAATGAGGCAGAATTTTCTTGCATAGTTGAAGCTTTATAGCATCTGCTAGACCATCTCAATTCATGATACTATTCTAAAATGCCAATAATGCACATTGGAAAACCTAATCCCAACTACATATACACAATGATGGGATCTAAACTACCTGTTCCCACTCAAGAAAGGTCTTAGAATCATTGTGGATAGTTCTCTGAAAACATCCGCTCAATATGCAGCATCGGTCAAAAAAAGCTCACAGTGTTATGAACAATTAGGAAAGGGATAGAAAATAAGAAAATATATTACTACTGTATAAATCCCCCACCTTGAATATTACATGCAGTTCTAGTCACCCCATCTCCAAAAAAATGATAGAATTAGAAAAAAGTACAGAGAAGGGTAACAAAAAACGATGAAGGGGGAATGAATCAGCTGCCATCTGAGGAGAGATTAAAAAGACAGACTGAGGGGGGGATATGTTAGAAGTCTATAAAATCATGATTGTCACGAAAATGAATTATTTATCCCTTCGCATAATACAAGAACCAGGACTCATCTAATAAAGATAATAGGCAGCAGCTTCAAGTATTTTTTCCACACAATCTGTAGAACCTGTTGCCAGGTGATACTGTGAAGGCCAAAAGGATAAATGGGTTAAAAAGAAGAATCAGATAAGTTCATGGAGGATAGGTCCATCAGTGGCTGTTAGCCAAGATGTTCAGGGACACAACCAGTGTTCCCTCTAATTTTTCCTACCCATGTGCGGAATGAATTTTACGATGTGCACCAATATGGAGGTGATGTGACACGTGACCTTCATCTTGGAGTGCATAACAAAATTCATGTGTTGAGGGTAGGGCAGAGGGATTTGGAGTGTGGAAGGGGGCTCAGGGCTGGGGTGCAGGGGTGTGAGGACTCTGGCTGGGCCACCGCAGCAACTTGTGGAGCGGGCTAGGTTGGGGCCAGCAGAGGGGCGTCCCTCCCCAAGCCAGGTTTCCTGAGTTCCTGCACGGTGCTAAATAGGTTGCTGTGTGGGCACGTAGTTTACAGGGAATTTAGGACATAATCCCATGCTTTGGGTGTCCCTAAACCTCTGACTGCCAGACGCTGGGACTGGCACCTGGGGATGGATCACCTGATAATTGCTCTCTGTTCATTTCTTCTGAAGCAGCTGGCACTGGCCCTTCTTGAAGAGAGGATAGCGGGGTAGATGGACCATTGGTCTGAATACGGCCAGTCTCACGGCTGTGCAGGCCGCCTCCCATTCACTGTCGCATGGCATTGCTACAGTAGCATTAAGGAGTGAGTGTGTTTTTAGCGGTTGCTTAATATAATTGAAAGAACAGAAACAAGGAAACAGCACCAACTCCCAGTCAGCTTTCTGTACACCGTGTTTTCCACAACTACTGATGTACTCCAGTTTCTGGGTTGACTCAGTCACACATGCAGGGCTTTCAGAGAAAACCCGAGAAGCCTCATCAGTGGCATAGACATCAGAAATCCCACTGAATACTTTTCAAAGAAGGGATTTCCCGCAGTGTCAGACTGCATGATGGTGGGGGAGGGCCAATCACCCACACCCCAAAGATGGCTGCATTTCCCTTCACATGGTTTCAGAGTCATAAATACAAGTCAAAGGCACAAAACTGCTACAAAATTTTTTTTTTTTTTTAAAGTAAAAATCTTTAAAAAGGTCTCACAGATGTTTTGTCCTCAGAAGATATCAAGAAAGAGGACATAAAGGTGTATAAATGAGAGTGTTCCTTCCATGTTTCAACACTTCATGATGAAAGATGCTGTTCCTTTAACACCAGATCTGTTTAAGTCGTCGTCTGTAACATTCTGAAAAATAATCATCCCAACCTCCTCAATGAATTACATTTCAAAGCATTCATTATTCACTCTAAATCTGACTCAGGAATTCTTTTTTTAGAAGACAGATTCCAGTTTTCTTTTAATTGGCAAGTATGTGGCTGCAGTTTGTAGTCTGTTACACTATCATACAGGCTCAGAAAGGGACACTGTCTTTTCCAAAGCATGCTGCGTACTAATGGTGTTATACACATTAACAGGTAAGGTTTCCACCTAAAGCACCATGCATAGTTATGGCATAAGGTTTCCATCTAATGGCAAACAAATCTCCATATCCCACTCACGGTGAATTCTCTTTGAAAACAAGCTTTATTTAGCAGTACAGTTCTCAGTAATAGCACTTCAAAAATTGAAAAACAGAAAGTGAGGAACATCAAGAACATGCAAGTGGTTCTCTGGATATTAACACCTTATCTCAGGAGAAGGTTTGGGCTAGTTTCAAACTAACTAAGTCTTTCATGTCAAACCTACACTGGTGAGTGATGTCACAAATTGAAGCTCTCGGTTACGACTTGCTTTTTGTTCCCTACGATGAATGGGAAAGCCGCAGACCATTCTCAGTTTGCTAATCTCAAGAGCCTAAGGGAACACACTCTTGATGCCACTCTGATATTTAGGATCAAACACAAGTAATATTTATTTTCCAAACGGTTTTATTGAAATGTGCCAGTAACACAGGGCAGCACAAAATATGAACGGAAAAACAAATCACATGTACAATAATTTTAAAAATTGAAGGTATCTGGGAGACAGACCGCTTCACCTCTCCCAGTTGACATGTCTTCGCTATGGGTAGCCTCTACTAAACTGGAGCATTAAAAAAAGGAATACAAGAACTTTTTCAAAGGCAGCAGAAAGAACGGAAGGAATCCCCTGCTCCTGGCCCAACCTGGGCAGCACTTACGAGGCATGCTGAGCAGTTGAGAAGCAGAGTTTCAGCGTGTACGGGTACGGCCCATCTAAGAAGAGAACAAAACAGGATAAAGGTTTATTTTTTGCCCCAGAGATTTACATTTTCATGTCTAGTATAAAGGATCTAAAAGCTCTTTATGTGCATTAAGTCCCACTCGTCCGTCAGGGAGGTTAGAAGTATTCTCTCCTTTTGAAGATGGGTGGATAGATTAAGCAGGGTTGTTCACGGTCACTGATCAAGTCAATGACAGAGCAGAGAATAAAACCCTCCCGAGTCCCAGCTCCCTCCTAGGCAGCAGGACCCTGCACCCTCCCACCCACACGATCTGTTGAGTGCAGCATGCCGAATTTCAGTTCCAACAGAGGCATGAAGTGGGGAAGATGGGAACGCTCCATCATATTAGTATAGCAACTTCCTCCCACAGAAGCCATGGCAATTTCAGATGACAACGAATCACAGCATTTAATGGACCAGGCTTCTGACCACATCCTGTTAAAACTCTCCGGTGAGGCTTACAGTTGTTTGTATGGGAAGCTGCGATAAGCATCAGCAATCGTAACTGTAGCTTAACCAAGTCTGGCTGCTGACAGAGTTACAGATGGCTGTCAGAGAACAGGAAAGCATATGCTCCATCGCGGTCCCCTCTTCCTGAACCCAGACTGACAGATTACGACAAGAGCCCCCCAAAGCTTGAGTGCAGGCACAGCACAGCTTACTTGGATTTTTCATCTGGTAATGGTTCAGGAATGACAGGGTCTCTAGCGCATCGCTTTTTGAATCCCATTCCAACAAACCAGAGGAGCTTCTTTCACCTGGACGGAACACTGGAGGTTACAAGTGTGCGTACATCACTATACAAGCAGGACAAGGTAGGACAACAGCACATTCTAATGATCCACATCGCTATACAAGAGCTCTGCCCCCCTTCTGATCGGCCTCTGCCACCTGGACTGGGAACACTGCAGAGGATGCCTCGTGCAATGTAACAGCAGCTCTGAGGGAGCAGCAACACCTCCCTTAAATGCATATTATTGAATTTGCTCCTAAGGAGGGAGGCGTTAATTGTCAGAGTTTAAGGCCAGAAGGGACCACCAGATCATCTAAGAACAGCCACACTGGGTCAGACCAAAGGTCCATCTAGCCCAGTATCCTGTCTTCTGAGGCCAGTGCCAGATGCCCCAGAGGGAACGAACAGAACAGGCAATCATCAAGTGATCCATCCCCCGTCGCCCATTCCCAGCTTCTGGCAAACAGAGGCTAGGGACACCATCTAGTTTGACCTGTCTATCACAGGCCACCACCGCCACCCAGCCACCCACACCCCAAACTCAGTAAGGTTCTGTTGGGTTGAATCTAGCGGTTTAATGGGATTGGTTCCACTCAAGCCATTTCCTTACCCTCCCCGTTTTTTTATGGTCAGGTTCTGTTCACAGGTACTCATTCGTCTTCCCATCCCCTAAGCCAGTCCTCTGATGGAAAGGCAGTGTGACAAGGGGAAATCACGGGGAGCCATGCTTGCTCAGCAGAACAATTCAACCCTAGTGGCTTCTGCTAATGCACGTTCATTCTCATCTCCCTTTACGTGCGGACAGCTTGCTAGATCAAGGCTTGGTGGCCAAGGCGCTAAACTGCAGTTCAAGACTGCAAGTCTAATGATTAAAGCTGGGTGTGCCACTCAAACACAGCAGTACCACACAATTGATCATCTGTGACCCAACCTTACCGGCAGTCCAGACCTGACTGTCAAACAGCCACCCACAAGCATCCCCAAGGTTTCCCAGGACAATTTTGTTGCCCCTTTAGTTAGAAGCCCACCTCTGACTAAGCAACCATTTTTTCCTGGTCCCTAAGGGAAGTGTCACCATGTTTAAAGGCTTACTTACTTTTCCCTGAAAACACTTTGACAGAAGCTGGCCTCTTCGCTCCCAGCTCATCGCAGATCTAGTGGGAAGACAGACAAGTATTCAGAGATTGTAACACAACAGCTTTGAGAATCAAAGGGTAAATTCAGCTCAATCGTCTATAAGCCAAACTTCATCAGGCCATTACAAATTTATCCCTCGCCTAGCACAATGGGATTCAGATCCATGAGCGGGCTGCTCAGTGCTATCGTAATACAAATAATTAACACCCTTCCATGTACTCCAACTAAGTGGACACTTTGGTTGCTCGTTACAGTGCCTATATCAGAATGCTCCAGTTGAAAAGTTGTAAGAGTTTTTCCAGTTCAGAAAGGTACCATTGAATAGTCTGGGCACCAAATCAGAAACTAAGTCTTATCAAAACCAGCTATCATATGGGAATTTTATCTTTGCTTTTTTTAAAGCCACACACACGCTACGGGTCACTGGAAACGTTCGCAATTTACAGCGTAACCCCGCATGCTGTGCCTTATGAAACAGCACACCGCTTACACACAGCAAAACCGACTGAGTAAGAGACAGAACACGGAAGGCTTCTGCTTGGTGTGTACATGTGCTCATTGAGTGACAATCCCCTCAAGCTCTCAAAGTAGTTCATCATATTAAGCCTTGACCACCATTTGAGGTCAAAATTCTTCTGTTTGGCAGAGGGGGAACAAGACAAGAGATAGGAAGTGACCTTGAGCAAGTCAATGATTCAGTGGAAAAGGGTTACCCAGGAAAACTGGGTCCCATTCTCATGTTCTAGCCACACATGAACAATAGCTATATTACTGAATGTATCCTTTCCAACAGAACCCAGAGGAGTCCATCAGGATGGAGTCCCACACCAAGCTAGGAGCTGTATGCAAAAGCAAGGTACGAGACTCAAATCTGAGACTGTACCATGAAGAGGGAAGAATGTTAATCAGACAGCGAAGAGCTGAGGGAAACTGTACAGTCTGATCAAGTTTACCTCATAAAAGTTGTCTTCTGTCACCTCCAGAGGAGCATTGAAGAAGTGAAGCACATTGCTAGGATGTTGGATCCTGTTCTTGGCTGCCTGCTCTGGGGTCGAAAACCTGTTATTTCGAGAGCCACTGAAGTCCTTGTAGCTGCACGAGCCATCCTCAAGCCCGTACGACTGACCAGGCATGATGGCTTGCTGTTTGGATACACTACAAGCAGAGAAATGCACAGCTGGTCACTATATGCATAGCTTTCTGCTGGGGATCAAGCTCCCCGCCGTGAGATCTCACAAGACATCAAGACCACAAAGCATCTGGAAAGAGACCCACCACACATTCAGCTTCTGTCCAAACATGAAGTTGTTGTTGAGGTGGGTGATTGCTCGATCGACAGCGTAGCCATCTGCCATCTCCACCATGGCTGCGCCTGGCTTGCTCTTCATGAACTTCACCTAAGATACAACACACCCTTGATGTGAGCACAGGACATTTACATTCTTCAGGAAGATCACGTGGGTTTGAGAGAAAAGGTGGGTGAGGCAATATCTTTAATTGGACCAACTTCTGTTGCTGAAAGACAAGCTTTCGAGCTTACACAGTTCTTCAGGTCTGTGTAACCTCAAAAACTTGTCTCTTCCACCAACTGAAGTTGGTCCAATAAAAGATATTATGTCACCCACTTTGTCTCTGTAATATCCTGGGACCAATACAGCTACAACACTGCAAACAACCTGGGTTTTACACATTTGAACTAAACTGCTTCAGACCGATCCATTTCAGAGTCAGCCTTCAAGCTCTGCTTCTTAATTTCACTTCATTTGAGTTTAGTGGATTGCTCCATCCATCCCTTAACCCCCATGCCCCCACCACTTTGAAGACACAAACTCTTCCATGATTGCTGCACTCTTCCAGTCAACCTTGTGTCTCCAGAGGCAGAGGGTACTTTCAGTTAGCCTGCTAGAGACTGTTTGCAAACAAGGCGCTATCACACAGCCCCAGCATACCAGATTTACTCTTCTGGCTTATTTGAGCCCTATTTGCTCAAGCAGAGATCATAGGACGCTATAAAGGAGTTTGGCTCCACAGCCAAATTGCACACCACCAATTTCAAAGCCAAGCCCAACAGACTTGGTGGGAAGCAAGTAAGGCTACCTAGAAACAAAAAATCACAAGCCCAAGCACCGGAACCAGAACTCTCTGCCAGACTGTGTCAAGGATCAAAGATATCAGTCTACACAAGACCAGGAGAACAAGCCATTCATTTTCCCCTCTCACCTTTTCTACATTCCCATAGAGGCAAAAGACGTTGAAGACCCTATCACAGTTCATCTTGGACTGGTCTAAGCCATACACCATCAGCACAGGGCTGTCAGCATGAGGGCCGTACTCCGGGGGCGGAGGAGGGGGAGGAGGATGTCCATACTGAGGGCCGTAGCGGCTTGGGCCCCTGCGGTGGCCACCAACAGGAGGGCCCATCCTTCTCCCTTCATAGTGAGGTGGAGGAGGGCCGTAACCCTCATCGTGATAATGACTGTGGTATCCACCATGAGGTCCTCCTGTGGAGACACCGGGAGTAGAGGCAACACGTGAAAGCCGTAAATATTAGAGCAAAACCCTCCTACCAAAGCCACCTTGCGCACCAGATCCATACCGTATTCTGCAGGGTGGTCCCCAAGGAGAGGGGGCTGTCTCTGACGCTTGTTAGGGTTACCGCCAGGATCCCCTAGACAAAGAAGAATGGGTTAAAAATTGAACCAGAGAGGAACAATGCTTCAATAGGTTGTATTCCTGGGGTTTACCTGTATGCTACCAAAGTCATTTAAGTCCTAGCTTCTTTTAAATCACATAGTAACCCCAGCTGCCCAGGAGGTCTTAATCATTTTCTAGCCAACAACTGCCTCCAACACTTTAAGGTTTGTCTGGCAGGGGGAGATTAAACTCCCCTCTCCAAAACAGGGTCTCCATTTCATCCAAGGCCTGATATTATGAGGACTGACTCGCCTCAAAGGCCAAGGACGGTTGGCTCCAGCTCCCACCAGAGTTTTCCAACCCTGCTCCAAGCACAGACCACATGCCCCTTTGGCTGAGGCAGCGCTGTCTCTGCGGAGATCCAGCCACGGAACTACATGGTGCTGCCCTAGGCTAATGGGCCAGACTGGCCTATTTTAACAAGAGGTTAGTTCGTAGGACACACACTTGCAGTTTCATTTGTTAGAACTGCCGTCACACAGTCAAGATTACAACTTCTATTTCTGAACCTACACAGACAAGTTACAGCATCTTGTAACGCAATCGGTGTCTGAATAAAATGCTTAGAACAAAGACAGGACGTCCCAGCTTCACCTGAATAGAGAGCTGGGCACGTTTCAAAGCTGATTACAAGGTAGCCATGACTGACCGGGGAAAGAAACAAAAGGAAGAGTGTCCCAGTTGATTTCGTGATTGAAACAATACTGAAGTACACCTGCCTCCAGGACACTGCTAATTCTTTAAAGCAATGGGGGAAAAAAAATATGGCAAAATATCTCCCCACCCAAACAGAGGAAGAGGGAGTAAGTGAGAGACTTATACAAGCATGGTAGCAAAGCAACAGTAGTAATAAGTTAAAATGAGCCATCATGTACAATGCGTAACATTCACGTAACCATACAGTTTCTTTGGTTTTTTAAAACACAACTGAGTTTCATACAGGTTTATTCCAACAATCAGTCATTACAAAGATTGAAAAGGGCTACTTACAGCAGGAGTACACAGTACAATGTCCATTGTCACATAAAAATTCTGTATTTCTCTTACCATTGGACGCTTCAACAGTGAGTTAGCACAGTTCTGAAAGATGGCGTCCCATCAAACATACACTGCGACCCTGCATCACATGGTTTCAGAGTCATAAATACAAGTCAAAGGCACAAAACTGCTACAAAATTTTTTTTAAAAAAGTAAAATTTTTAAAAAGGTCTCACAGATGTTTTGTCCTCAGAAGATATCAAGAAAGAGGACATAAAGGTGTATAAATGAGAGTGTTCCTTCCATGTTTCATCTCCTGAATTTGTGTGGTGCTGTAACAAAATGGTGCTTCTGGCTCTGTGTAGTTCTCCAGTGTGCGTGTCTCCTCTGTAATGGAATGTGCCTTGGGTCAAATGCCCCCGTTATGCACGCGTGCACCAGACTGCACACCCCAGCTACAGCCTCTTAGGTATCTGTGTGCCTTTGGTTTGTTTTGTTTTTTTTTGTCTCCACTTGGCGCTGATATGTTGGCAGCTGAGGACTGCAGGAAAGCAGTATAACCAAAAGAACTGCCCTCCCAAACCAAACCATGTTGATATGGAGAGCATCCTATGTCTTGGATGGCCACTGAGATCTATTCCATTCTCCGAAATGCGCTGGTGGACTTGTTTTGAGAACCCTCTGTTCTGTGTTTCCTAGTTCTGTGTACATTCTTGGGTTCAGAGTTTTGTTTGCTTTGATTAGTAAGAATAATGTCTGCTGTGGCATGGTGCGCCTCTTTCTCTCTCTCTCTCTGTGCTTGTAGATGTTTCTTGGACCACGGTGTTGTGTTCTTGATGTAATGAGCTCAATCTGCTGCTGTTTCTGGTACGTAAGGATGATGCATGTTTTCTCCAGGAAGAGCTAGTGAGGTTTCTACACTGTGTGGTGTGAGGAATGTGCAGAGGCAGGCCACAGCCAATTCGGGACGTCCACTGTAGTACGGTCCCCCAGGGTTATATGTAATAACTGCTCAGAGCTGGGAAAGGCCAGGAGAATACACCGCCCTCATTTCCCAGCCTCATGTCAGGAAAGCCAAGATGCATCTAAATAAATGCACAGCCCTGCAACTAGCCCCTGCGGCTCTGCACATCTTCTAGTTATGTACCTTGGAGGAGAAATTTGTTTATGTTTTTGTTAAGTCATGTAATGCCATTGCTTGCTTCAGTATATTAGTAAGTTTTCTTCTTTTAAAAACAGGGGTGTCCACCACGTGGGAATTACTCCAGCCTGCCAGGCACTTACTCAGCCCCTTGGGCCACACTGCGTAGCAATCTCTCTGAAGGGAGCACACCCAATTCTCGAGGGACCCTCTAAACTCGAATCAGCTGGGACCACAAACAGCTCCACACCCTGGTTTTAAAACACGAAGCAAGACAATACTGCCAAGCAGATTGTACCATTTAAATAAAATAAAAATACAGGGAAACATAAGAGATGCAACCACTTCAACTGATGCGAGAGCTGCTCAAACAGTAACTCCACACCAGCTGTTTATTTCATCCTCCTCCACACAGTATGCATAAGTTTCAAAAACCCAAGCAAGGGGTTTCCAGCTAAGCTTTGACCGTAATTGTAACAGTCTGAAGTAGAGATCTATGGCTGCAATTTGAATAATACACATCACTGTTCAGCATCACACAGATTCTGTTTAACTAATTTGCAGCACTCAGTTTGGAAAAGGAAAGGGATCTGTTCCTCAATGCTTCCAAAGCTGGGAGCAGACAGTCTTACAGATTTTTGCATTTCCCTCCATGTTCAAGTTACATTTGTGTAAAACGTTCACCCACGCGCCTGTGAATTATAACCCATTCCACTATCCTTCAGCTGTGTGATAACTAGCCAACAGCTCAAGAATTGTCTTGTTACTTTCTAGCATAATGAAAAGACTAGCAATTGTAATAGCTCAGTATTGAAAGTCAGGCACAAACAGCCGGTAGCTGCATCAGGTGACAAGCTGTAAATCTTCCATGTAAGAAAGCCGTGGCACTAAGTCCTCGCTTGCCCCTGATGACTGCCCATGCCCAGAAACTCCTGAAAACCACTTATGCATAAGGTTCCTTAATTCCTAACATTTAACTGATGGAAGTCAGGCAGCAAATACATAATGTAAGCCACCCGTGAGACGCCCCGGTGACAAGCGTTTGATTTTAAGATAAACTGAACAAGCACTCTATTTTGCATTGGCCTACATCATGTTTGAATTTAGGTACAGTTCTAACTGAAGTTAGGAGGCAGGCCAATGGCATTACATAACATGAGTCAGATATGAAGTGCGCGAGTCAACTGACTGACAAAGTTTGTGTATAGTTACAAAGCAGTCCATCAAGGTTACCTTGTCCGCTGAGATTGGGGTTTGTGTAATCCCAGGTGTCCTGGTCGTTCTTGAACACATTCAAACGTGTGGGCTGCAAAAACAACCACCCCTACCATTACTCGATTTCGCACGGTCAGAGTCCTAGGCAGGACAGAACAATTAAAAAAACCTATAGGAGATAGCCATGCTAGTGCTCCTTTCACTCAAGGATCTCAATGCAAACTTCACACCAAATAAGCCTTCCAGCTTCCTCAAAAGTTAATAATAATATATGGAGATATACCTATCTCATAGAACTGGAAGGGACCTTGAAAGGTCAAGTCCAGTCCGCTGCCTTCACTAGCAGGACCAATTTTTTTGCCCCAGATCCCTAAATGGCCCCCTCAAGGATTGAACTCACAACCCTGGGTTTAGCAGGCCAATGCTCAAACCACTTATTCCATTTTCAAAAAGAGAGAAGTTACTTGCGGAAGCTCACACAGGAAGTTAGTGGTGGAACCATGTACAGAACCCACAAGTCCTGGCTCCCATTCTTTTATTCTAACCACTAGAAGAAAACTCTTCCTCCCAAGGATGTAAGGAGAAAGGAGCCCTAAGTTTCCGGCTCTAACGTTGTCTCCCTGTTTATTTTTATATCCACAGAGGTAAATGTCTGTATTTCTGATAAGGAAGACAACATTGTGGAAAAAGCGTGAGTTTGAGAGAGTTAAGCTAGCTTTTCCACAATTCTGATATATAATTTTGTACAGACGCTCTGCATTCAATCCAACATACTGACAGGCGCAACTCATCAAGTACCTATCCATGTTTTCAGTTACACTTACCTTGGCATATTCAATCTTTAGAGTGCAACACCCAGAGTAAATATCAGCACCATTCAGAGATGCCTTGGCTCTCTGCGCACTCTGCACAGAGTCAAACGTTTAGTACATTAAGGAAATCTTTAGAATACTTAGTATATTTAGTACAGACAGGCGTAGCAATTCTTTAGGAGCAGGATAATTGATCCAATAACCAATCATGAGGAGATCCTCACTTATGCAGGCTGCTCATGTCTGCTTCCTGTTCTTTCTTCTGCTGTTAAAAGGGCTCCATATAATATTTTGTGCTTGCATAACATTTTACAAACCATACAACCCCCGTGAGTATAATCATAATATCCCTTTTGCAGCTGGAGATTTAAGGCAGAGGGATCAAAGTACTCTTGTCCAGAGTAAACAGTCAATTGTATCAGAGGGGTAGCCGTGTTAGTCTGAATCTGTAAAAAGCAACAGAGGGTCCTGTGGCACCTTTAAGACTAACAGAAGTATTGGGAGCATAAGCTTTCGTGGGTAAGAACCTCACTTCTTCAGATGCAAGTCACTAGTAGGAGCGAGTACAGAACTTTCTTGCTCTCAGCTGCCTGTTGCAGTCACTAAGCCAAACCCACAATAAGAGTAGGGAATTTTCATATTATTTCTAAATTAAGCATGTGCAAAATGCAAGTCCCCTGTGCCCACATTCAAAATAACTTCTCACTTGGAGTATAAGCATTCTGACGAGAAGCACTGGAGCGAGAGGGTTTCTAATCTGCTATAATCTGCACACTTCAACAGTTCAGTCTGAACCCAACACTTTGAGTGAGGAACAACTCTAGTGGGATAAAATATGGACAAACATTGAAGAGCACGTGAAAAAGGATATTCCACCATGGCCTGGACCCCATTCTTCCTGAAAATAACAATCCTTTGCACAGGACCACATGGATTGCAAATGGTATACAGCACGTCCTGTGGAAGGGAAGGAGACAAGACAATATAGGAAACGCTTTAAGAAGAGTTTAAGAAATGACATAGCATAGAAAGCAGTCTGCAGCAGACCCTGCCTGCAGCCTCATCACAAGATGTGGATACAATTGACAGTCTGCATTCAAAAGCACTGGGCTAGCAAGACCACTGCAACTGAGGATGGAGGTTTTATAGCGTCGATATTCTACATGGCTAGCTAGTAATTTTTCTTCATCTAAAACTGCAAATAGACTCTCTCATTTTGATTCAGCTTAATCATTATCCCCTTACATTTGCCTTAGAATATCCCATTTCACCCAGTTAGGCAGGCTTGCACCAACTAATTCAGATACCTAAGCAAGATCCCAAACAGAGGTACATTAATTTTCCGACATATCTCAAACTTCCTCTTGCATTGGTATATGCACTCAAGTACTCGGGCGATGATGCATTCTGCAGGGATGGACTCAGCTTGCTCCAGGGTTAGAGAGGTCTATCACACTAAGGGAACCTGGAATTAGCACCACCACGCACCGTTGTAATCGAATAGATGGGGTTTAGGATAGTGAAGAGCAGCACATTGTTGACTCCTCTTGAATCATCTGTGTCTCCAGGGCGGGATATTTTCTGACTGGTGGAATAGTTGACAAATGCAGGGTGCCCTGCTATGTAGATCTGGTTGTCTGCTGCATAGTTCACAGCATTGCAGGCACCGAGAATATCCTCAAACTCTACCAGGGCCTGTCTCTTCTTAGGCATCACCACCACATAACTAGGGAGGAGAGAACCTAAGTTAGTTTTCAAACATATAGCAAATGGAGAGCAGGCTAATAACATTTAACTGTACTAACAATTATTGTTTTCAGTGTCTAGCTAAAATGAATGCAAGAAGAAAGGTGAGAGCTGAAATTAGTACTGAATCATACATTGATCCAAATTCCCTGCTTGATGAATACACGTTTTCCTTACCTGATGGGCCCAAACTCCTGCAGGGCCTCCACAAGATCAGCTTCCACAACACCATCAATCAGCCCCCTGATGTGGACAACTGGAGAAGCTGGAGTTTTGTGGGGATCGTCATAGTTTTCCTAAAGGCAAATAAGTATTTTAAAAGATGTTTTACTCTCTCTCTGACTCAAGCTCGCATTTTATAGCTTTAATATGTAAGCACCTGCATTAGTCTGCACCTTACGCACAAAGAGGGGTTTTCAAGAACATGAAGCGAACATGATTGAAACACACACCCTTTTTGCCTGCCAAGAGAGAGACCTTGAGGATTCAGGGATGCTAACCCTGCAGAGACAAGATTGCTGGAGGCCTATAGACTGAGACAATCTTCTTCTCCCAGCTCCACTTGAGGCCCTGCTTTAGAGTCAGTGAAGATTCTCCCAGAATGCGGAGGGACAGCCCCATGAATCCCTACATGGCAGGGAAGCCTCATGCGATGATCCCAGGCTTTGAGCCCCCAATGCATTGGGCGAACCATCTTTTATTCCCCTCTATGTACCGCCACACAAAGACCGGCAGAGTGTATATGGGCGGGGTGGGAGGGAGTCTGGACTCGGCCCCTGTGTGCTGCCAGACACCAAGATCCCCACAAGCTTCCCCTGCAGGCCTTGTACTAAGAGTGGCTCTGATCTTTGTCCTATGGGCACAGCAGGTACCAAGCTGCCCAGATACCCTGCAAACCCAAGGGAGCAATGGATGGGGGGGACAAAGTCCCCCTCTTGGCCCTGGCCTCTCCCCATACCCCACTGTCCCCCCTCTGCACACCTACCATCTCCCTGCCCACACCCCACTGCCCCCCCCACATACTAATCCCCCTCTCCTCCAGCTCTCTGCCCCTTCCCTGCCCGACTGCCTCCTACACAGCCCCCCTCCCCCTGCACCCACTGGGGTCCCATTCCCATCAGGCCCCTCAACCCCCCACCCCCATGGTGCCCAGACCCTCATAGCCCCTCCCCCCACCTTCCCTCCCCTCGCTGCTCCCCCCCATCCCCCCATAGTGCCCAGACCCCTCCCCACGCTCACGCCCCCCACCCCCATGGTGCCCAGACCCTTATAGCCCCTCCCCCCACCTTCCCTCCCCTCCCCCATAGTGCTCAGGCCCCTCCCCACTCTCAGCCCCCCCCTTTGGCCCCAGACCCTCATAGCCCCTCCCTCCATAGTGCCCAGGCCCCTCCCCACTCTCAGCCCCCCATCCCCATGGGCCCCTCCCCCTCAAAGCCCCTCCCCTCGCTGCTCCCCTCCCCCCACATCGTGCCCAGACCCCTCCCCCCCACACGCTCCCTGACCTCGCCCCCCCCCCGCTGCCCTCACCCCTCCGGCCGCTCCAGGGCCCCCGCCGCCGCCGGGGGCCGCCCCCCCCCGGGCCATGCTGCTGCTGCTCCGCGTTCTCCGTCTTCTGGCGCTTCGGGGCCCGGCCGCCCTCGCCGCCCCCGCCGCCGCCGTAATACCGGCCCGAGCCGCCGCCCCCGGCGGCCGCCATCTTCACCATCTCCCCACCCCGGCCGCTGCCCTCCGCGCTCTGCGGACCCCGCCACCGCCGCCGCGACATGGCGCCTGAATCTGAGCCTGTGCCCGGACACGCCCCTATTGGGCAGGCCCCACGCCACTCAGAGCCCCCTCGACGCTCATTGGCCAGTCCTTTCGCCTCGCCAACTGCCACCCCGCCCTCCGTCGCCATTGGCTCAGCCATCCCCTGCCCGCCGCGCTGTTTCGGCCGCTCTCCTGCCTATCATAGCCCTCGCCACGCTCCATTGGCTGCAAGTCGCGTCCAGCCTCCCGCCCACCGAGCTGATTGGCTAATCACGCTGTCTGTCTAAACGGCTTCCCACCCATCTTCACTGCCTTTCACAGACTCCGCCTTCTTCTACCGAAAGCCATTGGCTCCCTTCGGCCGCTTCCGACACTCCATTGGTTAGTCATCACGTCACTCAAAACACCCTTGATCCTGATTGGTTTATCCTCTCAACGGTTTTGCCGTTTCCGACACTCCATTGGTTAGTCTGCACGTCAGTCAATAAACTCTGGGCGTTGATTGGCCTGATCGCATAGCTCCTCTGCCGCTTCCCACACTGTATTGGTTAGTCTGAACGTCACTCAATAAATTCTTCACTAAGATTGGCTTGTATTCCTGCCTCTTAATCCTATTAGCTATTCGCTCACCAGAGAATCCGTGCCCTGGCCACGCTCATTGGCTCAACTGCCTGCCTGTCAACTCCTCGGCGCGCCCTCCTGCGCCAACCTGTCTTGTTCTGGGCTCTGATTGGAGGTCAGCCTCGACCCCTGCGTTTCATTGGTGTCTCCTGCTGGCTTGGGGCGGGCTGACCAGGAGCCGAGACCGTTTCGCTCGAGGCCTGGGCGGGGCCCTCATTGGTGGGAGGAGTTAGGGGGAGGGGCTCAGCCAGGAGGGGGGATTGAGGGGGAGGGGCTCACCTGGGGCGGGGTCGTGGCGTTG